TCACATGGGGAAAACTGTACTTTTAGATCAATGCAAACATTCGTCGAGTACTTAGAAGTGCCATTAGAGGAAAACCTCTCAGCAGAGACTGCTCTGTAAACCAGACTGCATGCGAATGCTTCAAGTCTGGTCAGCCACTCAGTCCCGCATCTGACTGATGCCTCCCTCCTGCCCTTGACAATCCCCTCACCAACACCACCTATGGCCTCCTCATCACTAACTACACTGGAAACATCTGGTCCTTGGCCTATCCTTGATCTGGAGGTAGACTGCCAGACTTCCCTTAATGATCATGTGACCTTGAAGCAGTGACCTAGCCTCTGTCCAATTCAATTACCTCATCTCTAAAATGAAGATGATAATAACACTGAATCAATAGGATTGTTGTGATCTTTAAATGAAATAATGAACGTAAATACTGTGGATGCCTTGACCTCCAAACTTCATCTCCAGCATTAGGCTTCCTATATAGACTACTGGGCATGACTCTCTGAACATGGCACAGGCATCCTAAAGTTAACACACCCAAACTTTACTCTTGATCTCCTCACCCACCCACTCACCCACCCAAACCATTCTTCCTACAATTGTCTCCCTCAGTACATAGGAACTCCTTTCATATTGTTGATTAAGCCAAAGTCTTTGACATCAGCCCTGACTCCCCCTTCCTCTCACACCTCATATCCAATCTTTCAGCAAATCCTACCTGCTGTTTCTCAAAACTATGCCCATCATGAACCCACTGCTAAACCCTCTGCCTCAGCCGTCCTGGTCCGGTGCTCATCCATTCTTCTAGTGGTTAATGCCCCCATTTACCCTAGGGATTTCTTCTCTCAAAAAGCAATCTCAATAGGATTTTATACTGTGAGGAGCTACACTTAGGAATCATCAGTATGGAACATGGTTGCTATTAACAAAGTCATCATAAGGTCATAAAGTGTCAGAGATGCAGCATAGAACCTCGCTTGTCCAAGTATGGCCCTGGACCAGCAGCCCGGGCATCACTAGAAAGCCCATTAGAAATGCAGAATTTCAGGTGTCCCCAGACCTGTTGAATCAGAATCTGCATATGAATCTGTGGTTCACATGGTCCTTGAAATTTAAGTAGAAATTGAGTTTGTTTAGTGCCCCTCCTTCCCCTCCAATACACATACACACACACACACACACACACACACACACCCCACAATACATACCATATAGATAAAGAAACTAAGTCACAGAGTAGTATACTCAAAAACATGAATTTGATTATTTTTTTTCTCTTTTTTGTTAAGGGGCTATTTCAAGGCCTTATTTAAAGAGATCTGTCAAAAGAATTTAGCAAGCAGTAAACTTCCAAAAAGCTTTGGAAATCCATTAACAATTCCTTTGATCAGCAATAGCTTTCTTTACAATGCACTTTTAGAAGCCAGGGAGATTAATTATGCAGCAGTTTTCTTCAAAACATTTCCCTTTGATTGGTTTTAATCCCATGCCCATGGAGTTTGAGAAACAGCATGGAGAAAACACCCTGTTTACAAGGTCTAGTTTCCCATGGGTCTTCTCAATCATGGCGTGGAGGGTGTTGGCTTTTCAGAAATAGTCTGGGATTCCAGCCACAGCCAGTTCTGCTTGCAGGTTTCAATTATGTCCTTAAAAAAACATGCAGTGCTCACAGGTTTTATTTCTTCCAGGCAGGTGTTATGTCAAATTCCTTGAAGAATATTTCCAAAGCCACTTTAGAAGAGGGTACAATTCATACTAATTTTCAATTATGTCCTTAAAAAAACATGCAGTGCTCACAGGTTTTATTTCTTCCAGGCAGGTGAATATTTCCAAAGCCACTTTAGAAGAGGGTACAATTCATACTAACTTATTTATTGCTGAGAGTGCAGTCTCTGCTTGCTCTCTTACAAAGGATCTTGAGCAGGTCTGAGTGTTTCTGGTTATTGTTTTCAAC